ATTTGGCCTCCTAGTTGAACTACAAACAATTCAATATGTGCTTCTTTTTAAAACGCATTGCTGTTCATCTGTTTTTGAAAACACTGGAGAAGGCAACTGACCTGCAATTTTAAAGGCAACAAATGACAGCAATCGGAGCAGCTGCCGTGGGAAATGCATCATTTGTTCAGGACAGATGCAGTGTGTGGATTGTCAGCAGCTGCTGGGCGAAGGAAAGATGGTTTCTCTGTATGCAGGGAACTGCAGGGAAATGCACAAGACTTTGTAAATGTTCTCAAGTGGCTATATTAGCTAAATAAAAGAAAAAATAAAAATATGGATAAATTAGCTAACTGTATAGAGATTCTCTAATATCATATGAAGCTATGAACAATGGTGTTGTTGGAAGAATACATGTTAACTTGGGAGATATATATCCTATATCAGGCAAAAAAAATCACAAGACAATAGTGAAGCATTTTCTTCAAGAAAAGACCTTCGGTAAGCATGTGCTAATTAACTCTGGAATAAAAGGAGAGGAAGGAGTGCTGGTGGCATAGAGGTGCCGCGTTGAGCTACTAACGGCAAGGGCAGCAGTTTGAAACAACCAGCCAGCTCTACTCACAGGGGCAGTTCTACTCTGTCATATAGGGTCTCTCTGAGTCGGCATTAAAGTGCTATTTTAAAAGGAATAATAATTTCTGAGTGACAGTATGAATGTTTAAGATGTGGATGTTTGTAGTTTTCAAAATTCCCATAATGAGCATACATTAGTGACGATGATTTATCTGTATAAGTGAGATCCAGTATCATTAGTTGGAAATGGTTCCAAGAAAAGAAATGGGCACGATGAAGCAAGATGGCGGCCAAGGAACATACATAGAAGGGACTCAGCAGAGACCAGTGCAGAGGGGCCATGGAGAGGGAGATCCTACACCTGCGAACCACGGGCATCTCAGCAGAAAGCATTCACCCTTCTGATCAGTTTGTATTCATCATAGGAACAGGAGCAGACCACACACCAGGACCTCGAGCAAAAACCACCCAGGCAGTGGACTCGAACCCAAGGCACTGCCGGCTGCATGTGCATGATCCATAATAAGTAAAACCACCCAGGCAGTGGACTCGAACCCGAGGCACTGCCGGCTGCATGTGCATGATCCATAATAAGTGATGACAGCCTACCCAGAAGCCTTTACCTCAGACTCCATGTTTGAACACCTGTTGTACCTGCAATCAACCACCATCACCCTAATTGATGGAATTCTCCACTTCTGTTCATGAATAGACTGTCCTCAAAATAAAGAAAAGAAAGTGGCTAGGACATTATGTCATTAATTAACAGGAAGCAAGACTGTGCCACAATCTATCTCTTTAAGTATTATCAAACTTTTTATAAGCTAGGAAACAGCGTCATTTATTAAGTACTTGATGGGAACCAGATACTGTGAAAACACATTATACACACGAGTTCCTTAATTCTCACCAAAGGTTTATAAAATAGAAACAATTATTATTCCCATTTTACAGATGAGGAAATAAGTTCAGCAAGCAAATATGTCCAAAGTCATTCTATTGGTAACTGGTCCAGCTCAGAATAAACTCATGTCTAAAGGATTTCATCATAAACAACCATAACAAGTACACTGGTGTTGTTCATATTTATCTACACTCCAGGTTTAATTTGTGTCTAAAGATCTAGGCCTCATAAACAATTGGATAACAGCAACGCACAGGATTGCACATACATGCCAGTGAATTCAGGATTCTGAAAGAGTGAAATGCAAAGAAAAACATGAACTAACTAACATCTTGAGACTAAAGAATACTCTATATACAGCATTGACTTTTCCTTGGAAGATTTGTAACCCTCTCATCTGCACACCGTAAAGTGTTCAGATTTCCCAAAGTCAAACAAATTTGTTCTGAGTGACAAAATACTGCCATTATGTGGTTTAACTTCTCAGAAACACCAGGGGCCAGAAGCCATTTCCCTCTCTGCCAGCCAAGACAAGGCCTGTGTGCCTTGCATCCAAATCCTGAAGGCAGTTCTACTTCTAGATCATTAGAGATAAAAATCAACTGGAAACAAAATGGAGGTTTATAGTTAATAACCTCAATGCTCTCTTTGGCAAAGAACATGAGCAACCATCATGGTTTTATAATGGTTATTATCTTCTAGAGCCAACAGTTTTCTCCCATAAGAAGGGCAAAACAAAACAACTTTATTAGTCTTGCCTCTGGCCTTTTCCTGCACTGAGAGTGGGGCCTGTGATGAAAACAGGCACACCAGGTAGGGTGTTTCAATAGCAACACTATTCACATTTGTTACAGCCAAGTTCTGCTGTGGGAGCTGTCCTGAACAAAGTAGGCTGTTTAGCAGCATCCCTGGCTGCACACACAAGATGCTGGTAGTATTTCCCAGTGTGACAATTGAAAATCTTTCCAGACACTGCCAAATACACCCCAGGGCTGCGGAACAGAAACTGCCCCACTTGAGAACCACTGATCATATCGCATTCTCATATTGGTTTCTTTTTCAAATCCTTTTCAAAATTGGCCACCTTCCCATTGTATAGGATGGATAGCTGTTCCACATGCTCTTGCCCTATTGGATGACCTTCATTTGCAGAAACAAAAATGTCACATGGGGCAAGAGTTTTTTGCCAAAAATTGGTGTACTGAGATGGCTGAGAGAGCAGGTGCTTTGTCGTGGTGGCAAAACCAGTCCCTCATCTGACACAAATCGGGGCTTTTTTTGCTGCATACTTTTATGCAATCTTTTTAGAATCTCTACCTAGAAAGCTTGATTAACAGTCTGTCCTGGTGGAACAAACTCCAAATGCACTACAAGTCAACATTTTCATCCGTTCACAAAGTTGACAAATGTCCAAAACGAGGTTTGTCATCAATTGACATTTCACCTTTTTTGAAATGAGAAAACCACTTGTACACTTAAGTTTTTCCAATAGGGCTGTCCTTGGAAGCTCCCAAGCAGGAAACAATTTTCATATCCATATATCAGCCATCAAAAGCGAAGTTTGAGTGAAACAGCTTTTACCTAAAATTTCATTGTGAATTTTAGAGTTGCTCTATGCTTGCCTATTGGGAAAAATGCTCACTACAAAAGCTCCCCTCTGCCCAGGGCAATTCCAGTTGTTTTGGGGTAGTCCCTCAAATGTAATCCTTTTAAAATAGACTCACTCTTACACAGTAGCATGTGAAATTTTTTTCAAAAGGTAGGAACCAACACTTGGTTTTAGAGCCAATGAAACTGGGTTTAATAGTCAAGCTTTTACTGAACAGCCACAGGAATATGGGAAAATTAATTACTCATTCTAAGCATCAATTTCTTCATTTTGAAAATGGGGGTGAGAGTCTGTTTACCTGTGAAACTAACCCTTAATGATCTCTGCCTCCTTACATTCCAACCTTTGTAGTCCCCTGGCATAACGACCAAGACTAATTTGCATAACCAGTAGGATGTTGTGGAATAATAAAGGGTAACTTGGAGAATAGGTCACAAAAGACACCATGTCTTCCGGATTCTTCCTTTGGATCACTGGAGGAGATAGCTGTCCTGCTGTGAGGACTCCAGGGTCCTATGGAGATGTCCACTTAGCAAGGAACTGAAGTCACCAGCCAATAGCCATGGGAGTGAGTCACCCTAAACAACCTTCTAGCACAATTACGCAGGACAAATTGGGCCTTCCCACCATTTATCTATGAATTTTTTATACTGTAGAAGCAGACACATGTGTTGCGTGACACCAGAAGCAATACCACTGGGATTTCAAAGACCTGTACGATTGTGATGATAGGCAGGGTACAGAGGGACAGCCCAAGACATAGTTGGAAAAGGGGCCTGGCAATCTGCTCCCCAATATCACCCAATGAAAAGATTACGGATTCCAAGAGAATCTGTCTGATACACTGCTGAAAGACCAGCCCTCTAGATTGGAAGGCACTACCCAAGAACGGTGACATCCAATAATTCAATTATACCGATGATCATGAGGACGAGGCCGGCCTGGACAACACAACATTGCATTTGGCTACATGTCAGATCTCTAGGAATTGAAGGTGATAGCAACGAACAGAAGTTAAACATTCAGATCTTAACCATAACCACACGCAAAATCCCTGAACCACTTAAGCTACATTTCTGCAATTGCAAGACTATGTTTGTTGCTTTAAGCGGCTAAATTTTGAGGTAAGTGTTCTACAGCCATCGATAACTGATGCATTGATTGACAGGGTTGCAGGAGACTTGAATGGAGTATTTCATGAGAAATGGTTCACGTAGTACACTTGGCATATGGAAAGTACTCTAGACAATTCTATTGGTTCATGAATATAGGAGTATCTCAAGCATCCAGAGCAGCGCTTGGCATATATTACGTGCTTAAAAGTTAGAACATAAGCTATTGTCTCCTTTACTGTCATCATCATCATCATCACATACAGCCTGCCAAATGGAGCGCGAGGCCTCCAGGTCAGAAGGCAATAGGCAAGGACAGCATCAATGGACCGGTCATACCAATGACCATGAAGATGAAAGCAGATGAGCAACCTCTAATTGCTGTGTACACGATCTCCCTGAGTTGAAGCAGACAGCAACTAAACAAGCATTGAACCTTCAAATCTTGACCGTGGTCATATGAGAGGTCCTGAACCAGGGCAGGTAAATTTCTCACCCACAAACCCTGCATATTTATGCTTGCTGCTTTGTAACTATTTTAATAAAATATGCAAAGGAATGAAAACCTCTCATTTCTTGATTTGAAAAAGTTAAAACAAAAATACTATGGCTTAATCTTTTCTAAAAAAAAGTAAGAAAAATATGCAAAATAGAGCTGATTTGAGAATCCACAATGAAGAGAATAAAGAATCCAAGCTCTTTACTGACAGTTGCATAGCCATCCATTTCTTGAGCCATATTTAGATGAAACAAGAAAGCATATTAAGCATGGTGAATACCAAATGAACACCTATAGAGAGAGACGAGACTGGCCCCTTACCATCAACACAGGAAGGTCGGTTTCTGGTTGTTCCGGCCACTTTCCCGGGTAAACAGGAGCACTTTACTGTTTGCGACCGCTCCTCAATGCGATTCTTATTACAGCATCTGTGTGCGGCTATCACTTCGCACGTCCCTCCTTCTGGTGAGAGAGAAAGAGAAGGGACATTGTTGAGAAATCACTCAGTAACCATCGAACACATCAGAGCAGGCCTGTGGGAGTTGGGGCGGGAGTGGAGTTTGGGGAAGGGATAGAAACGACAATTTGTTTCTGTGGACAAAAATTACTAAGAGCTTCTCTCGCCCACGGACGATCACCTTGAGAAAGACAGGCATTGCGGCACGACACTTTAAATGCAACCCAAACCACCCCGGAAGCGCCCTCGAGAGGGCAGATCTGGGATGCCTATATCAAGACACAGGAAAGCACAGGATAAAGAAGCTTCATAATTCAAGTGCATTCTATTTGGGGAGCTCTGGCCTATGTCATCTTTGCATTTAAAATTCTCTGTGCTCCCACTCATGATAAGCAATGATGCTCTGGTGATGGGGAATTTCAGGACTAGAGAAAACTGCCTGCAACACAGCCTTTCTGCTGCCTGCCCGCTCTCCAGGGGCCCGAATCATAAAGTGGGCCTGGGGGTCATTTTCCAGAATTGCTTTCCCCAAGCCCAGATCTCAGCCACCCAACCATAACGGGATCACCAGAGCAAATGGGTATGTGCTTTAAAGGGCGCCTCAAATGGCAGCTTTCAGCACCCATCTGGCTTCACCGACTGGTTCCAGCACATCCCTGCATCCAGCACTGGTCATTGGCAACCTAGCACATGGCACATGCTGCTAGGATCTGAACAGGGGCCCCCTGGACTGTCTAAAGTACCATCTGTGAACTACAGGACCTGCAGGGTATCCGTTAAGTGTGTTCTCCAGGGACACAAAAGACACCCCCACGTGAGCAGCAAACGGGGATTAGCCCTCCCAGCATTAAGGTTTGAATTCAGGAAGAACCTTTGTATTTCACAGGACTAGGCCCATAACGTTTAGGGTTCTTGGCATCTGGCATTCAATTGGCAGAGAAACTCAGCAAACATTTGTTAAGCAGACACACATAAAATTTGTTGCGTTATCAACTTTAAGGAATACGTGACTATCCTGTATATGGTAGACACTTCAGAAACAATAGAGAAAAGGGGGAAACAAAGGAGGACGCGGATAGTGGGGGGACAGAGCACTAATCCACACATGGTGTGGGGAGGGGGGTATTGTTCATGTCTCCACAGGAAAGCAAGGAAAGGAACAGACCTCAACCTGGGGTGCCAAGGCCACACAGCAGTATGAAACAGCAAACCAACAGAAAGGTCTGCAGGGCCAGCCCCAGTCCCAGCTAAGTCAACCCCTGCCCCAGAAAACTGCACTACAGAGGCCAGCACTGAAGGTACAGCCCAGGGTGAGTGGCAGGTCTGCCCAGGCACATGTGAGCAAACTAAGAGGGAGGGAGGGAGGGAGGGAAAGAAAGAGAGAGAGAGAACTGCATCCTGGCCCACCAAGCCTCGAGGACTGCATTCCTGCTTGGAGCAGCCAATGCACAGAGAGGACTGTGGGGCTCGACCCACCATAACGCATGACCCACAGTGCTATGGTGGATGGTATTGGAGACACAGTGAAGGTATTGTGTGCTGTGTCTGACCACCCCCACTGACACTCCCCGCCACTGGAGCAAAACAAGAAGGGAGTGCAGCAGAGCAGCAAGGGGAGCAAAGCAATGAAGTCCCTGAGGAATCCCGAAAATAGACTCCAAAATCGGTGGGCATGGCATGGCACTTCACCATATCCAATTGGAAAACATTCAGAAGGGTCAGCAGACAGACCTGGAACTATTCATAGGCTTCTCTTCTTTTTTCTTTTTCTTATGCCTATTCATATAAGACAGGCAGGATAACCAATCCCAATGGCTCTGGGGGACATGGGAGAGGAGGAGGTGGGAGAAAGGGAGGGGGAAGAAAACAAACCCAAGGGCAAGGGAACAAGGAGAGATCTAAACTTGATGGTGAGGAGGGTGTAGGTGGCGTTGGATCAAGGGCAGTGTAGCCGAGAGAAAGTACTGAGCGTTGAATGAAGGCCCAGCATGATAGTGGGACAGGAAGAAAGTAAAAAGAAACAGAGGAAAGAACTAGGAGGCAAAAGACATGTATAGAGGTACGAATATAGGCATACACACATGTAAATATATTAATAGAGATAAAGGTGTATGTACATATATTTAAATTTTAAGTATTAAGGTAGCAGACAGCATTGGGTCTCTATTTAAGTCAGTGGTTCTCAGCCTTCCTAATGCTGTGACCCTTTAATACAGTTCCTCATGTTGTCGTGACCCCCAACCATAAAATTATTTTCGTTACTACTTTATAACTGTAATTTTGCTACTGTTCTGGGTCAGGTGACCCCTGTGAAAGGGTCATTCGACCCCCAGAGGGGTTGCAACCCACAGATTGAGGACCGCTGATTTAAGTGCTCCCTCAATGCAAGAACACTTTTTTCTAGTAACCTGGCATTGTGTGATGCTCATCTTCCTGACATGATTGCTAAATCAAAATGGGTGCATAAGCTAATGTGGTAAAGAAAGCTGATGGTGCCTGGCTATTAAAAGATATAACACCTGGGGTCTTAAAGGCTCGAAGTTAAACAAGCGACCATCTAGCAGAGAAGCAACAAGCCCATATGGAAGAAGCACACCAGCCTGTGTGGTCAGAAGACCCAATACAAACAGATATATCGATGCAAATGATGGGGGTCAGAAAGGGACCCAAAGCTCATCTGTAGATAATTGGACATTCCCTCACAGAAGGTCACAAGGAAGGAACAAGCCAGCCAGGGTGCAGCATAGCACTAACGGAACACACAACATTGCTGTAGTTCTTTAATGCTCCCCCACCCCCACTATCATGACCCCAGTTATACCTTACAAATCCATCTAGACTGGAGCATGTACACTGGTACAGATAAGAGCTCTCGGCACATGAATCCATGACAGATAAACCCCTCAGGAACAGTAATGGGAGTTGCAATATCATGAGGGTAGGGGGAAGTGGTGGGGGAGAAGGGGGAGATGGGGACCCAAGTACAATGATCAATGTATACCCCTTCACTTTCAGGGGGATAAACAACAGAAATGTGGGCAAAGGGAGATAGTGGACAGTGTAAATTTTGAAAATAATAATAATAATTCATAATTTATCAGGGGTCCACGAAGTTTGGAGGGCTGGGGAGGGAGATAAAAAAAAGAGGAGCTAATCCCAAGGATTCAAGCCGAAAGAAAATATTTTTAAAATGATGATGGCAACATATGTACAAATGTGTTTGATGCAATCGATGTATAGATTGTTATAAGAGCTGTTAGAGCCCCCAATACAATGATTTATTTATAATAAAAAAGAAAAGGGGAGGAGAGTGGGGAAAAGGAAGAGAAAATGTAAGATCCCACCATACCCACCCCCCTGAGAATGCGTAGTATGATGCAATGGTTCTCAATGGGAGACAACATTGTGTGTGTTTGTAGGTCACAGGGGTAAGGGTTGGGACTGGAGAGATTGTTAGACAGAGAGAGTGTGATTTTGCTATCTTCCTTCAAGGTATTTGGCAATTTCCAGTGCAATGAGTGATTGTCAAAACTGCCTGGAGGTAGAGGAGAGAAGGAGTTGGGTGCTACTGGTATTGGATGGGTAGAGGGCAGGGATGCTGCTGAACTCTGGATGGCTGCTATAAAGAAGCCTCATCCTGTGTCAAGTATCAACAGTGTTCAGGTCTAGAAAACTCACTGCCATCGAGTCAATGCTGACTCCCAGTAATGCTGTGAGTTTCTATGACTGGAACTATTTCTGGCAGAAGAAAGCCCAGTCTTTCTCCTGAGGAGGTGCTGGGGATTTGAACTGCCAACCATGCGGATGACAAGCCGGTGCATAACCATTATACCACTCTGGTCTAATAAGAAACATTCACAACACCTGACATAAGGATATCATGTTTATTGGTTGAATAGGTGCATGAGTCAATGACTTAACTACAATAAACACCACAATGAAATCAGGGGCATCGATGGAAGGGGAGGCTCACGCTTGGTTGAACAATTAGGAAGGTTCTTAACTTCAAGAGTAGAGCTTCAACAGATGGTGATGGAGCGAAAGTGTTTCAACAATCTGAGAAACCAGGACACTATTTTTCAAAGAGACTTTTTTCCTGGAATTTTATAACGGGTTGAGATTTATAGAAAAATTAGGAAGATTTGCAAAAGAAAATACAGAAATTCCTCACATATACTACACCAATATCAAAATACCAAACTCACTTCCGTCAAGTAGGTTCTGACTCATCAAGACACTAAAAGACAGAGTAAGCCTGCCCCTGTGGGTTTTTGAGATTAGAACTCTTTATGGGAGTAGAAAGCCTCCTTTTCCTCCCGAGGAGTGGCTGGTGGTTTCAAACTGCTGACCTTGTGGTTAGGAGCCCAATGCATAACCTACTGCACCATAAGGGTTCCCTTATTTTTTATGTTTTACACTAGTATGGCACATTCATTGCACCTTAGGAAATCAATATTGGTTTATTATCATTAAGTGAAACTCATAATTTAATCAGAAATCCTTGGCTTTGACATAATATCCTTTTTCTGTTACAGAATTCCATCCAAGATACTGCCCTGCAGTTAGTTATCATGTCCCCTTAGGTTCCTCCTGGCCCTCCTTTTCCCTGATGACCATGACAGTTTTTTGAGGAGACCTGGACATGTATTTTATAGACTGTCTCTATAAATGGGATTTGTCTGAGGTCTTTCTCATGGTTGCACTGAGGTTAGGGTACATACTACCAGCAGGATGTATCACTGTCAATGCCGACCTTGCTGACCTGGCTGCAGTCACAGTTTTCAAGTTTACTCACGTCAAAGTTATTCCTTACCCTTCCAGACTGTACTCGGTGGAAGACAGCCACTGTCTCTGGCCACAGCTTTGTGAGGACAGAGTATCTACTTAAATTATGTAGAATTCCCTGCACGGGAGACGAATCTATTTCCCCTTGTTTATTTAGTCAATCATTTATTTATGTCCATATGAAATTGTGGATGTTTATTTCACTCTTGGGATTAAAATC